CTTAGATGCAACCAACAAAATAAACATAATTAAAACTCAATTATCATTTATTCATAACATATAATATACATTGCTGATTATGGAAAATTCAAATAAACAAAATTACAAGAGTACAATCGCAACTCAAGTGGAATATTTTGTACTTGGGTTTACTACCCTCGAAACGAAGCATGCGGGATACTGAACCCAGTCAGAGCGGGTGGGCGTGCACTTAAGTGTAGCGAAGCCTTTCATTGGCTGGTTCATTTGCTGATACTCTCAGGGTTCTTTGTCTGAGTATAGGGATCCAGGTTCAAGCCGCCAGAACCTATTCACTGCTCCTGAACTCCTATGAACTCCAATTCCATGGATTTTTTTTCATTGCGTTATTTTTCAACTTCATGTAGTTGAATTTGCATTTTTGATAATTTGATACTGTAAGTCCATCAGAATCTGCAAAGTTGTGTCACAGGGGGTATTCGACTATACATGAAAGCCAGATGTTGCCCCTCTCGTCCAGAGACAACATGGGCTTCTTGTTCACGGTAATTAAGGAATATATTTTGAATAGAACCGGCTTAAAGTTTGTGTGTCAACAGATGAAGCCTTCTTGTACCCTTAACTACTATATTTATGATGTGACATTCATCCTCTTTATCGGGATGATTTACTGTCGCCTTTCAGATCGTGATATTGTGCCTTTCAAAAAAAAATATCTAAATCTGTCAATCATAGTAATATAGATGATTTATTTCATACAATAAGACCTTTTCTATGCAGGCATAATGCAGATTTTATTATAGAAATAAGCACTGAAACTTCACACAGGACTTATTTTGTTGTATAAGTGAACAAGAGCACTGTTTGGACATCACTTGCACGATATCAGAAGTAAAACCAGCTTGAAATAGACGTTAAAAAAAATAGAAACATCATTATTATCTGATTCCAGATATGTGGAGAAAGATGTTATATTCTCATATTGAAAATGTTGCATTTGTTAAGGTGGGGAATACCTTATACTAAACATGAACGTGAAGCCTGGGTTGTCCCTTAAAAACTGTACAGTGAAAAATGGGTTGTTGCAAAGGTGCAACATTTGGTTTTCATGTACAGTCGAATACCTCCTGTGGGTGTGTTTGCTGTGTGCAACAATCCGAAACTGATGAGTAACAAGAAGTTGAAAACAGTTGACATTGACATTGTTTGAGAGGTCCATTTCAATAATGGATTCACATTTTTCATTTGTTTTACAAATCTGAAGCAAACGTATTGTGGCATATTCTACACTCTAAATTCAACTTGCTGTTTAGCCTCAAGAAGTAGTGTGGCAGCGGGGTAGCCTAGTGTTTAAAGTGTTGGCTTGTTATGCCAAAGACCCAGGTTCGATTCCCCACATTGGTACAGTGTGTGAAGCCCATTTCTTGTGTCCCCTGCCATGAATTTGCTGGAATGTTGCTAAAAACACAGTAAAACCATAACCACTCACTTAAAAAATAGTTCAAATTTCTCTCCTTTAGGAGAAAATGTTCGTGACAACTTTTACACCAGTGCTGCCTCACCTAAACATGCCAATGGCTAGTTAAATATCATAAAAAAAAACAATTTTGGTGTGAAATGGAGAAAGTGTTGGCAGTATATCCATTTAGTTTTTGTTTTGTTGTTCATTCAAAATTGAAATGTGTTCGTTTTGAAACCTTACCCATTATGGTTTTATTTTTCCTGACTTGTCTTTGCAATCAGGGATAATCAATGTTGTGCACTCCACCATTGTCAGCTGATGCGTAGCTCCATGCAGCGACATATGAATCAGCCATGCTCAGTGAGAGATTGCGTGCAGTGTTGCATGTAGGCAACAGGCTGTTTCTATTGACACCTGTTGACGAATGAATTTACTGTTGAGTAAGATTGGGTTTCCACTTTTAGGTATGGTAACTGATTTTATTGAAGCAGAACATTTTTGTTATAAAATGTCAAAAGCAACTGTCCACACAACTGTGTCACAAGAGCAATAACATTTTTCATTTGAATGCAGGGAAAATGACAGGTTGGTCAGGTTAATGGGAATACAACTAAGGTATTTTGCCTAGTTGAATTGTGATTCAATAAATAGTATTTTTCTGAATATTTCCAAAAGGCAATTAAGACAGTAAACAAGCTAAAACTGATGTAGATATTTTACCAATCTGGTTGACCATGCTGAGAGAGGCATAAGTACATTCAGAAGTCCATCCTAGACAGCTCCAATCATATTATAATCCTTTTTACTCTCATGTGACACTTATCAGTGTCATGGTTTGACAAACCTCCTATAGGAGTGGCATTGACTGCACTTACTATAGTACTGTCGGAAATAGAAAAAAACTGTATTTTCTCATTTATCTCTATAATTTATGTAGTTGATATGTGAAAGTGTGAAATATCTGTTAAACTAAGTTCGGCCTAACTACAGTCTCAGTGGTAGGGAGATAGGAAACGGAGAAAAAGGACTTTACTGAGGAGAAATTAGTGCAGAAATGAGCAATGCGGTTTTTTTCTAAGTCCAAAAAGACTTATTTGGAACAGACCATGGCTTTATGCAAATTAGTGTGCGACGATATTGTATTACAAAGGACACTTTTTAAATGCCCAATTTGAAATTAGACGTAGATTCATTATAAACGATAGTTTTTATGTCGAAACTATTAAGGATGTAGCTACCATGCAGTCTCACTGTCACTATAAAAGATAGGTGGGGTCGCCTCAAAAGCAAAACCTGGGGTCGGGCCTGGGGATAGAGATATCAGCTAAGATAAGATAATCATTTAGGGCAATTATACTGGGAGGTACACGGCACGTCATAACAATTTACAAATAATATCCAGTCCTGTCGATCTTTGGGTGGTCATTAAGGCTGTAACGATTCACTCGCATATTCGCTGAATCGAACCGTAGCCCTTCATGAATTCAATTCGTTATTCGTGGTCACCAGAACCGAATATTAACGAATATTTACGATTTTGTTAAGGGAGCATGTTTTACTTGAACCCTTATGTCCTTTCCAAAGTGAGATATGCAAGAATGGAACATGTACTAGCATTGCAGTAGTGCAAGTCATGTAAGTTTGCCAAGACTGCACATGGTACTGTCGACTATAACTATTACATACCAAATTTGAGTGTCGTGAGATCACTGGTTATTGCTATGACAAATCAAAACTGTCAACATGGACGTTCCATAAAGTGCATCAATCACTTAACTACAATATTATATTTGTGAATAATCACTCGTATTTGTTACCCAAAATTCATGATACGTATCATATTCACCACAGAGTGTATTCGTTGCAGCCCTAGTGGTCATGCCACCTATATACTACCATGCGTTTCTATGGTTTTCGGGTATCATACTCTCTTACATATCTCAACATAAACTTTATGAAAGAAAGACACGTAGGATGTTAATCAGTAGATGAGACAGTCAACACACATGAAAAAGCACAAAATATCTTTGAGATGACCCCTTGTGTGCCTGTAGGCAGCACATGCATTTCATGCCAGGTGAGTCGACGGTCCGTCGTCATACCTGGCTGAGTGACCTTATTGCCATCTATAGTCTGATCTATTGTTTTCAGCAGCTATTCATATTTTTTCTAAGTTTTGCCCGATTTTACGAGTAAACATGCTTTTCTGGATATCGTATTATGCATCACACTGAACGCCCAGTTAGGCCGAAGTGGGTTATTTCGACATATGCTATTTGCAATTGTGTAAATTTTAGGGATACAGAGTAAAAGCATAAAAACAGTTTTTTTCTATTTCCGACAGTACTTTAGTAATGCAAGCGTGCTGATCCCAGAGCTCCAGATAAGCCTTTGACCAATCAGTGAAGGTTAACAAACTATGACTGGTATTCTATCTGCGTTGCACATCTTAATTGCGCTTAGAATTATTCAAGAATATTTGGAGATGGAAAAGTTTGTTTCTATTGGCTTGAATTGATACGATGCCAACATAATTTTGATGTATTTGGTAAATATGCATTCTTATTTTGAAATAGCGTAAACGTAAGTATTTAGTGTTTATTCATACGCTGGCATTTATTTTTCTTGCATATTTCACCTTTCTATAGCGTATTATACGCAGATACGCAGCTTATCTGGAGCTCTGGATCCATTTCAATTCTTCATTGATGCATTCATGAGTGGAGCAACACATCTGGTTTCTGTATTTTAAACCCGACTGAGAATGTGTGTTTTGGATGTGTTGTACATGTTGTTATTTCTGATCGCCATGTCGTGTACACCCAAACTAGTTCATGTTTGTGTTCTATCCAGGGTCTGCTCTGTTGTTAAGATTGAAAGTTACAAATCAATTGGTAAAAGAAAACTTACTGATATTCCAACCTTCAATTCATGTTTCAATCTTTTTAAATTGAGAAGTCAGTTTGTTCAGGGTTTATCTGATTCAATCTCCAATGGGAGGTCGGGCAGATCCCTTCTTTCAGAAAGGTATTGTACATACCGGTAAGTAAGATCAGGTTTCAACAATGTATAATGAGATTCACATTATTTTAGATATGAGGAATTAGAAAGTCGTAATAGATAAACTTGACTTCCGATATGTGATAGTCCAGGTTATGATTGTACATTGCACGGTGATCTTTTCCCATTAAAACATGGCTGTAAAAGTGTTTGAGATATGGTGAACTGAAGTTAAGTAGCAGTTTTGTAAGATATATAATTAGTTTTTTGTGCGATGGTTTACGATTTAGCCAGAATGTAATAGTAGGAAATCTGTTATGTGAACTTGGTGAACAACATAACTGTGTGCTGGTTATAAATGTATTATTAATCATGTCAAGTAAATTCATGTCAGCACAGGTTTGTAATGCCGCACAAGTATTTCAGCAATGCATTGAAATACTCTTTGTGAAATATCTTTGAAGAGCGTCTGTGCATAAGGCCTTCTTGAAATTGGGACAGCGAGACATGACTCAGCCCACAGCCTGTAGGCCTATAGTGGATCTTCAGGGTAGTGTTTAGTCGGGTGTACCCAATGTGTCGTCGTCGTTACTGCTGGATGTTGTCATGTGAATGTATTGCATTTGCAGTGTCTGTGTGGACATAAACTTGATATACCTGCTGGTTGGCTGATGGCCATGTTATGGACAGTAGTTTTCATGTAATGAGATCTCATCAGCAGACTATGATCAAGTTGTTAACACCCAGAATGTGTGTGGGTAATTGCCATCCTGTTGCTGTGAGTATATTCAGTATTCGTCACAATAGATTGGGCTGAGTCAGCATGTTAGAGCCTCAGTGAAACAAAGGTTGTGGTTGGTTAACAGATGGAGATATTACATGAAGAGAAACCATTCATCCCAAAGCCAGTTATTACTATGTTATTATTTCATGAAGAGAAACAGACAACACTTATTACAGCTTGACTCCTGAGAGTTTCTAGGACTTCAGTCCTGCCCCACAACGAAGCAATTGTGATACATGTGGTTTCACCTTAGGCAAGTGAGTTTGTTCAAATTGCCTCTGTTCACCCAGCAGAAAATGGGTACCCGGTTGGATAAAGTCATGTGACTATAACCTTCTAGTGCCTAACGGGCAGCTTGGGTTATCCGGGGTAATAATAATCAGATTCTGATTAAGCGCCGTGAGCAATCACTTGGTGTTTGGAAACGTGCGCTATAGATGACTTATTATTATTATTATTATTATTATTACAATGTTATTTTTGCATTATTCTTATTTGAGCTTCAGTGCTCCAGATAATGACTTACCCTCAGGAGTACATACTCCTCAAATGAGCTGAAGAAGAGTACAGAGGTAGAATTCAGTGTTTGTCGAAGTACAGTATCGATATGTCTCAAAATAAAGGACATTCTTCATGGTCGGCCATCACAAACATGGGTGTTTATACCTTTGACTGTTTTACTGAAGTTAAATCTGGAAACTTAAGTTAGATTAGTCTTTATGTGACAGTCGCAGAGTCTACTCTTTACACTCGAAGACAAATCATATAGCAGGAATTTGAGAGGACGGCCTGTCAGCTGTTAATTAACAACTTCAGCTTTTCATAAAAGAAAATCAACTTTGTTTTATTTGTTATTTTATTTTAATCTCAGAAAGGGATTTCAGTATCAGCAAGCACATATCACTGACTGTCGAACAGTAACATTGTAAGGCCCTCTATTTAATGGTACAGTTTCTATGCACATAGATATCATGGTTTTTTTAGTGTCGGTTAAGACTAAGAACCAGACATTTAACTCTGGTGATATTTGTAGGTCATTGAACTGACAATGCCTAGTAGTGTTGGGAATTGGTTAAAACCTCATAATTGATGATTGCTTCATTACAACCGATCAATCATCGAAAATAAGTGGTTACCGTCATTTATGATTTGTTTGTTCGTTTTTTGTTAATGAAAAAAAAACATAATGAAAAAACATGTAGTTCTTTGGGGGTTTTTATGTGGCAAATTTCACATCTTGAAAGGATTACCACTTAACTAGTATGTTAGGAACATAAAATTCCTTGAGTCTTTAAGATAAATTCAATCATGACTTGGAACAAGCTTGTAGTGGTTATGAAATGTAACTTACAAAACAAACCTTGTGAAAAATATTGTTAATGCAAAAAGTGTTCCAGAATTGTTTGTGTTCGATTATGAGAAAACATGATCGATTGCTTGGTCGTTTAGTCACTGCGACCAATCTTCGATTATTTCAATTAATCGGACCACCACTAATGCCTAGTCACCATTACCTTACACAACTTTACTATATGTTCTGCCCTTTGACTTTTGCCTTGCTATTTAAGTACTGTGTCAACGCGTGGATATGCGTCAACTGGGGAATTAGCTCATAATTAAGATGAAGTGTGCGTTGATGAAGACGAAGGCATAGTTGAGTTCACACGTCTTTAGTACATGACAAACAAATACACAAGACATGAGCGAGGTGAGCGGAGTACCTGCTCAACCCCAGGGCGTTTCCTACGAGCGGCATTATCCTGCTCGTGGTCGTCCCAACAGACAGTCGGAATACCGGGCTCGTACTCCTTCTCTGTCTAGATGTGAGCATACCTAGTATATGTATACAGTTTTTGACAACAATGGACAGGCGACGACTCATCAATGGACAGACAGAAAAACAATAGCACTTCCTTGACCAGTTGATGTGATGGCAGACACGGCCAAGGGGGATTACCAATGAAGGTTATAAATGTCTTATACGATAATTAATGGGCTGACAAGTCAATTTACAATGCGGTAGTGATAAGGATGTACAGTAGTGATTAAAAATACAGCTTAGCGTCATATATATATTACAATAAAGTCTCACATGTCTTGAGTACATAGTTTTGGACTTTTTAAATATTTGGACGATGGCTGTCCTGAATTAGTCCCTATAACAACTGTCTTGAACCTTTGTTCCTCCGTGTGACTTCAAGTTTTTCTACGATGCTGTCTACAAATTCACTGATAGTATAACTGACCACGTATTTTGCTGAATATCTTGGAAATATGTTTACCAAAAAGCTTCTGAAGTGGTTTGACTTTGTAGCCACTCCAAGTCAAGCCATTTTCTGCTGATCTGGAACTGCTTAACAACGAAGATTCTCCTGTTACATAGTAGATCCATCAGGGGGGCGGTGGGGTAGCCTAATGGTTAAAGCGTTGTCTCGTCACGCCGAAGACCCGGTTCGAATCCCCACATGGGTACAATGTGTGAAGCCCATTTCTGGTATCCCCTGCCGTGATGTTGCTGGAATATTGCTAAAAGCGGCGTAAAACCAAACTCAGTCCGTCAGTCAGATCCATAAGGCATTGCAAGGGGTCTACCAAGTTTATGATGTTTACATAACTGTGAAGTGTCAGGGAAAGTACTCTCCAAATCTAACAGTGGCATACAGGCACTTATACTCCCCAAAATGTTATGCTAGTAGCTTGAAATCTAATCTTAGCTGCATATTTTTAAGCTGTAAACATGCTGACACGCCCCTTATCTGGAACACTGGCTCTATTAATATTGATGAAATTCAGCAGCTAGTTGTTGCCTGTTCTTCTATTGGCAGATCACAAGCTTACAAGGTGAAACTGATATGTTCAGAATATCAGTAGATATTGAGTCTGGGTGAGGTGATAGCAGGTTTCATTCTGTGATCACATTCAGATGGACCTTGTATACAAGGATAATGGATATACTTTATGGTAAATTAACAAATTAAAGTGGGATGGTGGAAATAAGAATTAAGATAAGTTTGCATGGTTGAATTTATTTGGTGTAATGTGTGGATTGGTGGGATATAATATGTATGCTGTTTCAAATTCTTTACAGCCGTCAATCTGTAAGGCTTTCTTTGTCATTGGGAAAGAAAAAGCCTTTGTTGTATGTATAATGCATTTGAATAGTAACTACATTTATTTAGAAAGTTAAACACTTCTATAGATATTTTAACTATGTGGTTTTGCTTATGGAGTCTATGAAAGATATAGGGAGTGAAATTAATCCTAATTCTATTTTGTGATCATATATTTTTCTACTCCTGAAACTGGACTATTGGATTAAAGCCCTCTGATTGATGATGAAATTAAAGTACACATGCCCACCCAAACTCATGCTTTTGCTATTCAGGAGTTTGTCTATTCCCTGTTTTGCAATTTATGGGCAACTCCCTGTTTTGCAATTTATGGGCAACATGTTTGGTTAGGGCTTAGGTTCGGAGTATAACAAACAATTCGTTCCATTATTGTTTTGTCACTGTGCTTGGCATCTGCGTATATTGTGTGACTTTGTTCCTGATTCCAACATGCATATTGCTCATACCATCAATCATTGTCTATTTCATCTCAAGTCACTCATGTCTTCTGTTCTAGCCGCATCAGGAAAACGTCAGTATGGCTCCCAAGAATGTAATTATGGAAACGACTCCATCAGAGGACATGCTAACAGGATCCTCTGAAGTGGAGCCAGTCATCACAGCAGAAACACATGCTCAGAAACGCCCCCCTATGAAGATAGTATGGAGGAATGTAGTGTTGTTTGCCCTGCTGCACCTGGCTGCCGTGTACTCGCTGCTCCTCGTCCCCCAGGCTCACTCGTACACCTTGCTGTGGTGTAAGTACATGCAGCATCAGTACATGTTATTTCATGTACATTTCATAATTAGTTCATAATTTTGTTTCACAAAAGGTGTGTGATGTTAATCAGATGTATATCATGATACATCAAGTTTCTGTCTGATTCAATTATTCTCATGCAGGGTTTTACGTTTTCCATACAAAACTACGATTCCAGAGGACGCCAGAGTTTGCAAGTCCAGTAAAGTAATCAAATAGTGTAGTGTGCTGTACTTAAGATGTAATGATTATATTTATATCCCAGGGGTGGAAATAACCCATTGCCCGACTCCCGAGTCCAGTGTTTTTTTCTATTGGGCAAGCAAATTTGTATATCACAATGTACCGGTGTCCAGTTGACTTTCCAATATTAATTATGTTTATTTAAAAATCAACAAGAAAACGGCCAGTATAGTGGAAAAATTATCAGGGCAAGTGATTTTACATGTGCCACTGTACCAGAGTACACTAGCAATTTTAAAGTTATTTCCACCCCTGTATCCATTCTATACATTTGTGCATGTTGGATACAGATTCCTGCTTTGTATAAAATCCTCACATAGCTGAAACAGTGTTCTACAGACAGAGAGCTGGGGTCCATTGCCAAGGGCAGTGTGTGAAATTTACGCTGGTCCTCTGGTCCCTGGCTAGTAAAAATTCATCAGGACCACTAAATGATAACTTTGCAGTGGTCCTGGTGGCAGTAAAGTAAATCTATGAATGTTATTTTGGACCAGTGAAGTACAGACAGGACCACTAATTATTGTCCACTAACTGGTCCTGTCGTCTAGTGAGAAATTTTGAAAGGTTTCTTTCCTGCATGAGTGTGTACAAAAGTTGCGTCAGTCTACACTTGAGTTCAGTGAATGTAAAATGTTTTGCAACAGTGTACTTGCCTGGTTTCCATCCTTGCCATGACAGGATCATTGCACATACAGATAGTCCAGTAGAATGTGTTACCACATCAATATCTGTTTCGAAAATGTGTTACTTGCATTTGGCCGCCGTCATCTGTCAAAATTGTTTTTAAAAAGAAAGAATAGGCAAACATAGTTTAAGTGGATAAAAGTTTTCATTCAACTCACAAGGACTGAACTGTTATTGCAGTGATTGAGATGTAGTTCTATTTTCATACGATACCCTGTTTGTCTGTTGGTTATTAAGTCTCTTCATAATCTGATCGAACAGGTTGTCTGCTGTGGTTGTCATCTTTGTGAAGCCATTTGAAATAAGAACAGTGGTCTCATTGGACATTGGATTCATTACATTAGACAACTCACGTTTTTCATTTGGCAACACCATGATTGAGTCAAGTAAAGTAGGCTTGAAATATCAAGGGTAGAAGCTAGTCTTTACCTAATGAAGATGCTTAATGATACATAGGCTTGAAGTTAGACGAGATTAGCAGTTCTGATAAAATGATCATATCTGCTGCAGGTGCATTCATGTATCTATTTGCGGCTCTGGGCATCACAGCAGGGGCACATCGCCTGTGGGCACACCGTTCCTACAAGGCAAAAATGCCACTACGTATCCTGCTTGCAATCATGGATTCTGCTGCCTTTCAAGTAAGCATCTTATTGGAGATATAATAGTATGATTGTTGAAAGTAGTTCTTATCAGTAAGATTCTGGCAAGTAATAACATTCATTGTGACATTACTGTAATGGGAGATGACAGATGTGTACACCCCATGGCCATCACAACATTCTCCCTCACAACAGGTTCATCATACCATCCTCACTCATCACATAGAACAATCATACCATTCTCTCCATTACATCCTCCTCCCCACAACATAGAACCATCACATCATCCTCCCCACAACATAGAACCATCACATCATCCTCCCCCACAACATAGAACCATCACATCATCCTTCCCCACAACATAGAACCATCACATCATCCTCCTCCACAACATAGAACCATTCTCACTCACAACAGGTTCATCATACCATCCTCCTTCACCACATAGAACCATCATACCATTCTCTCCATCACATCATCCTCCCCCACAGCATAGAACCATCACATCCTCCTCCCCCATCACATAGGACCATCACATCCTCCTCCCCCACCACATAGAACATCACATCCTCCTCCCCCACCACATAGAACCATCACATCCTCCTCCCCATCCTCCTCCCCACCACATAGAACCATCACATCCTCCTCCCCCACCACATAGAACCATCACATCCTCCTCCCCCACCACATAGAACCATCACATCCTCCTCCCCCACCACATAGAACCATCACATCCTCCTCCCCCACAACATAGAACCATCACATCCTCCTCCCCCACAACATAGAACCATCACATCCTCCTCCCCCACAACATAGAACCATCACATCCTCCTCCTCCACAACATAGAACCATTCTCCCTCACAACAGGTTCATCATACCATCCTCCCTCACCACATAGAACCATCACATCCTCCTCCTCCTCCACAACATAGAACCATTCTCACTCACAACAGGTTCATACTGTAATGGGAGATGACATAGATGTGTACACCCCATGGCCATCACAACATTCTCCCTCACAACAGGTTCATCACATCCTCCTCCCTCACCACATAGAACCATCATACCATTCTCTCCATCACATCCTCCTCCCTCACCACATAGAACCATCATACCATTCTCTCCATCACATCCTCCTCCCTCACCACATAGAACCATCATACCATTCTCTCCATCACATCATCCTCCCTCACCACATAGAACCATCATACCATTCTCTCCATCACATCATCCTCCCCACCACATAGAACCATCACATCATCCTTCTCCACAACATAGAACCATTCTCACTCACAACAGGTTCATCACACCATCCTCCCTCACCACATAGAACCATCATACCATTCTTTCCATCACATCCTCCTCCCTCACCACATTGAACCATCACATCCTCCTCCCCCATCACATCATCCTCCCCCACCACATAGAACCATCACATCCTCCTCCCCCACCACATAGGACCATCATGTCATTCTTCAACTCCACATGGGGCGGTGGGGTAGCCAGTGATTAAAGCGTTGGCTCGTCACGCCGAAGACCCGGGTTCGAACCCCCACATGGGTACAATGTGTGAAGCCCATTTCTGGTGTCCCCTGCCGTGATGTTGCTGGAAAATTGCTAAAAGCGGCGTAAATCCAAACTCCACATACTGCCTCTGTGGTGTAGTGGTTAGAGCGTCCACCTGGAGAGAGGAAGGTCGCAGGTTTGATTCCCTGACGCATCAAGCCAAAAGACGTGAAAATATGGTACTTTTGGTCCCTGAAAGGCTCTCGGCATTAATGGGTACAACGACTGGTCGGCTCGGAGTCAGTATAATATCTCTGAGTGAGGTATTCATGCTTAACAGCATCATGGTATCAGTGAGCTAGCAGTATAAAACCAGCTTAAGCCTGGGCTAAAGTACTGTCGGAAATAGAAAAAAAACTGTATTTTCTCATTTATCTCTACAATTTATGTAGTTGATATGTGCAAGTGTGAAATAACTAAGTTCGGCCTAACTACAGTCTCAGTGGTAGAGACATAAGAAACAAAGAAAAGGGACTTTACTGAGGAGAGATTAGTATAGAAATGAACCATGCATGTTTTTTCTAAGTCCAAAACAATTTATTTGGAACAGACCATGACTTTATGCAAAGTAGTGTGCGACGATATTGTATTACAAAGGACACTTTTTATATGCCCAATTTGAAATTAGACGTAGCTTCATTATAAACGCGAGCCGAGGTAAAAATAATAACTTCCATGCTGAAACTATTAAGGATGTAGCTACCATGGATTCTCTCTGTCACTACGAAAAGAAACAGATAGGAGGGTTCATCTCAAAAGCAAAACGGGTGTTGCAGACGATCTTTGGGGTCAGGCTGGGGGATAGAGATATCAGCTAAGATGAGATAATCCATCAGGGCAATTATACTGGGGAAGAAAACAGCATAACAATTTACAAATAATATCCGTCAACCTTTGCGATCGGGTGGTCATACCACCTATATATATTGAGACATTTAATACGATGCGTTTCTATGGTTATCAGGTATCATACTCTTTTACATATCTCAACATAAACTATATGAAAGAAAGACACGTAACATGTTAATCAATTGATGAGACATAGTCAACACACATGAAAAAGCACAAAATATCTTTGAGATGACCCCTTGTGCCTGTAGGCAGCACGTGCATTTCATGCCAGGTGAGTCGAAGGTCCGTCGTCATACCTGGCTGAGCAACCTAATTACCATCTATAGTCTGATCTATTGTTTTCAGCAGCTATTCATATTTTTTCTAAGTTTTGCCCGATTTTACGAGTAAACATGCTTTTATGGATATTTTATTACGCATCCCACTGAATGCCAAGTTAGGCCGAAGTGGGTTATTTCGATATATGCTATTTGCAGTTGTGTACATTTTAGGGATACAGAGTAACAGCCTAAAAACAGCTTTTTTCTATTTCCGACAGTACTTTAGTACAAGCAGCCACACATACACATGCATGCACGTCGTCATATGAGCGAAATAATCGTAAGTGCGACATTAAACCCCATTCCACCTCACCTTCCCCTCCACATAGAACAATGACTTCATTCTTCCCTCCATGTAGAACCATCACATCATTACATCCGCTTGTCATGCTGAAGACCTGGGTTTGATTCCCCACATGGGTACAATGTGTGAAGCCCATTTCTGGTGTCCCGCGCCGTGACATTGCTGGAATATTGCTAAAAGCGGTGTAAAACCATACTCACTCACTCCACCTTTATGTATTACATTTACTTCACAAAAAGCAAATGAATATGGTTTGATTTCTTTTGCAGAACTCTGTATTTGAGTGGAGTCGTGACCACCGATGTCATCACAAGTACTCCGAGACTGATGCCGACCCTCATAATGCTAAGCGAGGGTTCTTTTTTTCCCACATGGGATGGTTGATGGTGAAAAAACACCCAGATGTCATAGCCAAGGGAAAACAGCTGGAGATGGCGGACCTTAAAGCTGATCCTGTTGTCAGAGTCCAGGAAAAGTAACTGTTTTCAAATCACTACTTACACTACAAACAATTTATCATTAGTGTTAACATCAGCAATAAAACCAACTCACTGAACATTTTCTCCTCTCCAATGCACACACCTATGAGCATCCAGATATTATGACCAATGAAAATATGCGTCCTTTGTGAAATATTATGTATCATCCTTGTCTATCCTAAGTCAATATTAATTTGCATTTGTTTCCATTTTCAGATTTTATGTTCCATCTGTGCTGCTATTCTGTTTCATTGTGCCAAGTGTGGTACCTTGGTATTTCTGGGGGGAGGGCCTGTTTGTCTCCTTCTACCTTGCTGCCATCTTGCGTTACTGCCTGGGACTGAATGCCACATGGTTGGTGAACAGTGCTGCACACATGTGGGGCATGAGGCCATATGACAAGCGCATCAATCCAGCAGAAAACATGATGGTGGCCCTGAGTGCTGTAGGGGAGGGCTTCCACAACTACCACCATACCTTTCCTCAGGACTATGCAACCAGTGAGTTTGGCTGGAAAATCAACTTAACTACTTTCTTTATTGACACCATGGCATATCTGGGACTAGCTTATGACCGCCGCAAGATTCCTGATGATGTTATCCGAGCAAGGAAACTGAGGACTGGGGAGGGTAGTCCTTGACGGAAGAATGTGGACAAAGATTGCTGGGCTTTGTAGGAGTGAACACAAGCAGCAGCAATGGTAGAAAGTCTCTTGTATTATGTGAAAAAAAAGTGCACTATTATTTCACCTTTCCTGACAGAACTATTGCCAATACAGTGACTGAATAAAATGTCATTGAGACATTGGCTTGCTGTATGCTGGAAAGTCACTTTGCCAGAAACAATCAAACATGCCAAATTTATAATTATCACATGTATTATTACATGTAATCAAATCATTGAGCATTTAATCTAAATAAGGATGAAAGTCGAAATATACTTCAACTTCACGTTGAGAACTTGCTTTCCATGTCAGGTCCGTTTTGGAAGAGTCACAATGTCACTAGTATGAATATGATGACTGTCACGATGATAACCAAGTTATTTTGTTTTGATTGTATCTAAAGCAGTTTGCCACTAGTTCAACAGAAATGGTAGATTGTAAGTGGAACCTCTTTGCAGTACTCATGGTTTGAGGTCCATTGTATATATGGTTGGTACATTTGAGAAAAGACAGTTACTAGTCTGACTGGGCATGAACTCAACTTACCAAAATTGAAGACAATTTGTTCAAAAAGAAATTATTTCATGAGATGAACTGTTTGAAGGAAGATATTGCCAGCAAGGTCAAACTATCAGGCTTGGATCTGGCTATGTATGTAGCCCTGATTGAGCTTGCTTTTCTTGAATGATTGTTATTTTCCCTCATTATATCATGAGGTCAATCATGTTTAGCAGACAGTTCCAGCAGACAGGAATCCACCTGGGCTGCTTCGGAGAAAATGAATGAGATGTTCCTCCAAGTGTATCGCTGTCATGAACACTCTGTATGTTGAATATACCTCGGACCCAGGAACAGGATAGTTCTGGTCCATAAACAGTATCACCAAGAGTCACAAAGTGACTTAGTCAAGGGTATGCCTGTGAGTGGTTAGCATGTTTGATTGAAGTCTAATATGGAGACCTATTTGAAATGACACATTGCTGTACTGTTGTTAAATGTTATCAATGAGTATTAGTCCAAGAACAAAAGCCAGAATTCTCAACCACTGGCAAATTATTTCAAAATGTCCTGCATCCGCTTCTGTGCATATACAGATATTCTAAATCTAAATATGTGAAAGCTGGAGTTTGTGAGTTCTGGTGTTGTAGATGCCCTTCAGATTGTGTACATTAGTTTTGTTTTGGACAGCTGTCCATGTTTGTATTGTTCCAGTTGCTACCTGCTATGTGGTTCTCATCACCTCAGCATGCTTATGCATTAACACCTGGGTGTTTGTCAACTTCCAGCAATCATGTGGTCTTGGTTTGCTGATGTAATAGGAACCATGTAACATCGTAGTTTGTTGTTTGAGTTATTTGTATCTTTGATAGATTTGCCTTTTTTTTATTTATTTCATTGTCATACTTTTGTTTATTAAATGATTTCATTGAGTTTCAGAAACAATCCTGGATATAACAAAATAAAGTGATCAAAAGTAAAACTTTTGTTATTTTCATTTCTGGGTTGAAAGTCATCAACTGAGTAAACATAATCCAGCACAGGTACTGCATTTTTGTAAAACAGGGTGGGTTTTTGTTAGATAAAAACACTTCATAAAAGTGTTTGAAAACATGGCCAAATGATTTAGTTAGTTGTTTAACTGGTGATGTGTAGTTGGCTGCAGGGTTGGTATGTACCTGTGTATGTAGGAGGAAAGTCAGCTTGGATGTAGTGTCTCATCTCCCTTCTCAGAAATCCTGGACTGTTCGGTCTCTTCAGTTTGGTTCAAGGAACACAATTCAGAGAATACAGCCATTTGACTGAAGTGCACACTACCTCCTTATACACCTGGTAATCTTTCCATCCAAAAGTTCATTTACAAACTATTTACTGAAATATATGGAGGGCTAGCTTGTATGACCCTGCCATTCTGAATCTGTAACTATGTTTTGGGGATTGTTGTCAGACTTAACACGAGTGGCCTGGTTATGTCACTTTGAAATTAAAGCTCCAGGATATTAATTCTTAACAGAATGTAGACTGTACACACTTGAAAAGTCATCTGTGCCCAATTTCACATGTTAAAATTAATGTTCCTATATGACCAGACTGAAAATGAGCGTTCATGAGCATGTACCAATTGTAGCAATTATAAATATTTGTACAACCGAAATTTATCACATTACATAATACAGTCGAAAACCGTTGTCTCAATACTTACGGGACCAGGAAAATATATCGACTTGTCCGAGTTGGGCCTATCATCACATACCAACATAAAAGAAAACAGTAGATTGCATGTCTCTTATTTATTTTTCCTCGCAGAGATCGCAAATACACATGGTAATCTCGTCATAGTGTCCATTTTGAAATATACGAACATTTTATAGCCCCATAACACAATAGCGATCAATTGACTCCTAATCCGCATTTCTCAGTCGGCAATTTAGTAAAAACTCAACAATCAGATGCTTGTGACGTGATGACATAGTCCCTCATTAGATTCCCACTATGTTTTGATTCGATACTATAATCCATTATCAGGAGTGTTAAGTTGAAATTGGGAGTACATCCTAGTTGATAAACAAACGACACCTACAACTCAATTAGCCTTAATTAGCTTACACTACCGCTACCTTTGATTCATGCCGCAGCGTGTGTGTAAACACAGTTCAGATGGGGATTTGTCCGAGAAAGGTAGTTGTATATCGACTTTACATGCAAATATCGAGTTAAATGGGTAATTTTGCTTGTCAGGACCATGAAATCATATCGAGATATCCAAAATATCGAGACAACCGTATCGAGTTAAAAGGGTTCAAATAATGATAAATAATGAAGGATTTTGCCAAGACCGAGAAATTATATCGAGACAACCGAGATCTAGAGTTATCAGAGTTCGACACAACGGTGTTCGACTGTACATTATTAATATATAATACCTGTGAAGATCCCGATTAGAATATTGATCTTCATTAACCCATGCTTGTCGTAAGAGGCGACTAATGGGATCGGGTGGTCAGGCTCGCCGTCATCGGTTCCCAATTACGCAGATTGATGCTCATGCTGTTGATCACTGGATTGTCTGGTCCAGACTCAATTATTTACAGACTGCCGCCATATAGCTGGAATATAGCTGAGTGCGGCGTAAAACTAAACTCACTAACTATTAATAAATAATGGTACTTAATGTAAAACATTTATTTTAACTTAATTTTGGAACCATTCTCATGATTCCTGCTGGCAGACTTGAAAGTGACCTCTGCATGAAGTAATGTTTAAGTGTTTGATAAGTTTGTGCACTTCCAACACACACTACAGTGATGCCTTAATATTCAACACTGCTTGTGATACCCTTTTTAACTATCAGACTTTCTTATGTAACCTAAGAACCCATGATCAACTTGTCTCAAGTTCAACAGTCACTGTCTTAGGATTTAAGTCTGTGAAATTAAGAGCATATTTGTTTGGTCCCTGATTATAGAAAGTGTCACAAAACGCCTCGTATGTAGTATACACCTGGGTAGCCTGCCAAGATGGGTCTATACCAGACACAAAGTAGTCTGGAGCAGTGACGTCCAGGGGCTGTGGCTTCAGTGGAACATGGATTCTATAGGAATGTAACATCATGCGAGGTGGCTGGGTATCAGTCCGGTCACTGTACATGTAGTCGCCGATGATGCGGTGACCAATATGACAGCAGTGCACACGCAGTTGATGGGTACGACCTGCAGATATGAAAAAAAAAAATTGCACTTGCAATGTCATAACAAAACAATAACATAATATGTTGTGGTTAAAACAGTCCCCTGAGATTTGGGTTGAAAATGTAAACGTTTGTTTTTCCCCTGTTTGAGGTTTTAGATTTTCAGCCATACCAATGGAGTGTTTCAACTAATTATGAGCTATATGAATGCAAAAATACCAGAAAGAACATCAAGATACTTTATTGTGAAGCAATGCATGGGTCATGGTATAAAACAAACTTGGTGACAGCAAGTGAAAGAGACCAAATGGAGCATGCTGACAACTCAACTCCTTTCCTCACCCTCCCTGGTCGCTCAGTGGGAACACTCTTACCATACACAAAATGATTTGATTCACATTTAACATATTGTGACGTTTAAACAGTTTAAAATCAGATGCATAAAGGCTGTTTATACAATTCAACTTCAAAACCTAAGTCTACAATGCCGATGTAAAATTTCCAAGCAAGAGTTACAAAAGATTGTTCTTGAACCATGTTAATTTCTCTTCCATCAAGCCCTCTCTGTAACAGTCTTTACGAGTCTTTAAGACTTAGACTACGTTAACTTCTTTGAGTGGCATTTTAGAAGTTGGGAAATACAATATAGAACTAACTTTAGGATAACCACTTCTTTTTATTCGTGAGTGTGACGTTTGATACAGATTCTTGTACAACGGTACAAGAATCTGTATCGAAACGTCGCACTCATGAATAAAAAGAAGTTGTTATCCATAAAGTTTGTCCTATATTAGACTACGTTGCTGTAGGAAATATGGCCTTCTTTGTATTGCTTTGGTTGTATGAAGCATAAAGTCACTGTCACCCCAAGAAAATGTTACTATAAAAGAAGACCATGGCTGATTCACTTCTCCACATACACCAAAGCAGTTTTCAGTCACACTGTAGGATAGCACTCTCTCAGTACAGAAGTACATGTATTCACGACATATTCAAGTATGAGGCAGTTGCCAGGCTTTTCACTACCACTGCAAAAATCTAAGAAGAGGTTTATGTACATCCTCTCCTCATGTCATACCAGCAGATACTTATGAATTTGGAACCAGATCATATTCCGGGATGGTTCAGTGGTGTTCCAGGCCTGGTCAACTAACTTCTGAATATCGTGAAAATTAAGTTCAAAATGCATGTATTTGCATGAAAATACTGTCATGGCCAGCCATCTGGAGCGATCACAGCAGCACTCTGGTTAAACAAAACTCGTAAAACAGGCTATGTAGAAAATTATATATTATAAACTTATCCTATCTCACGGTATGCACTTCCCTCTCTTACTTCGACCATGGCGTGGAAACGTGCTGTAGGCTAAGTTGTATCAAATCTTCTGGCCTCTCCCGGTTGGTTTGGCACTTCCCTACACAGTACTGCAGTGGCACCATCTACGTCTTCCCGGCCTATTATTCCTGTCTCTTGGGGTCATACATGGGATAGTACCGGTACCCAGCCTTTTGATTTCGACAGGGTAGTTCAAGCAGTAGCCACTGCTCTCAGCCGGGACCCTCCCCAAGCGGCCACTACTCCTCAGGTTTTGCGGGATCCGTCGTCTGGTCCTTGGCTGGATGAAGCTCACCTTTCTGCCATTCCATCCCCCACTTCAGAGCGCCTTTCTACTTTAGATGGCGGTGTAGATGCTGTAAAAATACCACAACTTCTTACGTGGATTGCTGATAATTGAAACTACTGAGGAGTAGGTCTTCAGCAGACTTGCTCTCTTCCTTTGACATGTGACCAGGTGATTTTGGGATGATTACTTTCAGGCCTCCCAGGCCTTGTATCACACAGTTGGCTTCGTCGTTGGATGACGCTTGCAACAATTTACGGAAAGTCCATGTCCATGGTTTTGCTACGTTGGTTACTTCGCCTCCAGTTGATGATGATATTACGTTGTTGGGAACTAAAGAACGGACCTACACTCCTTTCTTGGTGGAGGATTGGGAGTTATCCCATCTGGATTCGGCAGTCCACAAAATACTGGCTCTGTTCAACATGATCCTAACAGCCTCAGAGGCGGTTGCTATGTCAGTCGCCCATGCGTCTTTGCCTCAACAAGCCTACATCAGTTGGGCCACGGTCCTGATGCAAGAACAGCAGTTACAGACTGTGTAGGATCAACTGGCCCATTTTTTCTCATACCTGGCAGTGGTCAGATGTATGGGTCCCCTTAATCTGTCCTCCTGGGAGGACCGCTTCAAAACTGACCTGTTTCTACAGCCATGGTCCGGACGGATGCTCTTCAATGGGGCGCCCCTCCTACTGTTGTCGTCCCAGAAGACAACAGAGTTCCTTTACCAGCTCCTGTAGCACCGCCAGCTCTGACCAGCCCCATGCGGCAGGATTTTCTAAGCAGTGACTCAATGACATCACTGCACGACTGGAAACTTTCGCCTCCAGTCGTGCTGGTTGTAGACTCACCAGTCAGCGGAAGACTTGGCGTTTATGCACCCAACTGGCCCATTCTGAATTACCTGTTCGTTCAGTCGACACTTTCCACGGGATTTCAACTTCCTCTAGTAGGCTCTCCTCCCTTGATGTTACACCCGGATCAAAGAACATATCCTGCAACCTAGTCAGCCATTCTGAGAACCACAATAGACACGTTACTTCAGAAGCTTGTGGTGATTTTACTCTCCAATTTTCCTCATCCCAAAAAGGATTCAGACAAACTCAGATTAATCTTCAACATGAAGCTTGTCAACGCAACATACCTACAGCAACCTCCCCACTTCCGGATGGTCTCAGTGGCTCTTCTGTGCACCATCATCAAGCCGGGCAACTTCATGGTCTGTCTGGTCAAGATGTTTTTTTCCAGGTGCTGATTCCGAAGTTTGTGTCCCCGGATCCTCTGGCGTGGGAACACGACACACTGGCGATCCCTTGGGAGGGCCTAAATGCATGTCTTTTAACCTCTGATGTTACTCCCTTGAGTTCAACTCAAGCTACGGATAACTCAGAAGATAACACTGCTTTTGGTCACGCCTTACTGGCTGGCCAGAAGTTGGTTTGTCGCCTACAAGAGCTTGCTGATCTCAAACCAGTACTGATTCCCGATCGAAACAACGCTCTGATCCATCCTCACTCAGATCAGCTCCATTGGTCGCCCCAGATGCTCCATCTACACGCTTGGCGTATCTGGAATCCTTAATTGCTGAGGGTTATTTGAAGCGAGTGGTTACGGCTATTACTACAGCTCATCGTACTTCTACACAATCATTCTACGATGATAAATGGACGAATTTTGAAGCTTATTGTAAGGTGAAGGGCATTACTTCCCCTACTACAGCATCACCGCAGGTAGCTGCTGAATATTTACAGCATTTACGTTCTTCTACGTTCTTACGTAGATCACCTGGCGTAGCCGGGGTACTGTAGTACTATCATACCCATGACTATAGACTGTGAGGCCAGTATTGTACAGAGGCCAATCTTGTCATGCAGAGGGGATTGACACTCCACTTACTGACCTCTACTGTTGCGAGCAATTACGTCAGTGAAGTGTTGATTTCCGATTACCTATTGGGATTTCAAAGCGCTCTGCTCCTAAGTTCCTTCCTCATCTTGAAATGATTGATTGGTACTGAACCTTAAACGAGTTGAGCACCAGGCTGTCTTCCCTTTCACCACTTTCCAGCGTGTCTGTGGGGGATGGTTTTGAAGCAGGGGCTGTCCAGATTAAGGTTTTAGACTTAAATTCACTGGGGACTTCTGAGAAATCGTGGGGAGGTGGGACTTACTTGCCAAACTGCGTCCTTTTGTCTTGAACAAAAGTTGTGGCTGAAAACCACATTGATTCGGGACTGCCCACTCCCTAGCGTCTTTGTGCTATGTAAGCCAAGGGGTTTATCAATGAGAAGCAACCCATCACAAGTATTGGAGTATAGCATATCGGGAATGTTTTTTTAACACAGGGTTATCTGCGGCCCACCGTCCATCCGTGGGATAAATTAGTTTAAAAATTTGGAAATTTTAAGTATAAAGTGTATATTATAATACTTATCATATCTCACGCCATGGATTCCCACCCGACCTTCCCCGCATGACAGATTACTTGGGGCTCCAAGATGAGAAGGAAAGTAGTGGGATGTCATGTGACCGTCCTGAGCTCTTAGCATGCTTCACAGGGATGATTGACGTGTCCAGAAATGCAACCGGTGGGGAGCGATCAGGTGGGAGAGAGGCCTGAAGATTTGATTCAACCTACAGCACGTTTCCACACAATGGTTGAAGTAAGAGAGAGAAGTGCATGCCGTGACATAGGATAAGTATTATAAATATACAATTTATAGTTAAAATTTCCAAGTTCATAATGACTTCAGGTAACTACGTTTCTTTAGTTTTTCTTGATATCACAAAATGCAAGAAACACAAGATATAGCTGTATCCCCCCTTTTACTTTAAGCTACATCGGTCCTTATGCTTGTAGGTATGACACTTGGTACATATTTTTGATGGATTGGGTCACCCCACAACATAATATCCCATCTGGTTTCTACTTCACACCAAGAATAACAGAAAAATCACTCCTGTGTCATGTAGATGTCTCTCAACTATGATGTCACAGGTCGAGCTTGGCTTAGGCTGGGATTGTGATTTGCATACACGCAGGATGTGGGATTAGAGCAGACGTTAATAGCTTTTTGTTAACAATAAAATCATGTATGAACTTTTCTTGTGAGTACATATGTATACTTTGTATGGCCATTAAACATATGTTAAAAAGTTTATATTCAATATATAAGTCTGTATCAATAAACATATCTAAGCTGTATTGACTTAGTTTGAATACATGCACCATACTGTACCTGTCAGAGGTATCAACAGTAGTTTAGATGCAGCTGTTCCAGCGTATAGCCCAGTCTCCAGACACACTGCGACAGTGGTGGATCTCTTCACAGGCTGCACGCAGTGTGGGGAGCTGGACACACACATTCTATAGATGTCGGTATGGATGGAGCTCCGGCCAATAGGGACATCAATAAACAGGCATCTGTCTTCCATATGGCCATGTACCTGGCAAATAAACACACCTATTTACTTCCAGAGCTTTCTTCTCTAGTCTTAAACACAGAATACCAGATCTCCTCAGATGTTTTATATCGCTAATGTTTGTTGAAGTTGTTAAATTCCAGGCCATTTAAGTCATAGTACGTGACATCTCCTTTTGTAAGCTGAACATTTGTAACCAGATCTTTATGACCCCATCAGTCATGACTGATTTGACAGAATCAATGAAAAATATACCGTAGTTTAGCTACATGCATGAATAATTGATCATGTTGCAAGTCACTGATATGTATTGAGTGAGTGAGTGAGTATGGTTTTAGGCCTCTTTTAGCAATATTCCAGCAATATCACGGCGGGGACACCAGAAATGGGCTTCACACATTGTACCCATGTGGGGAATCGAACCCAGGTCTTTGGCGTGATGAGACAACGCTTTAACCACTAGGCTACCCCACCGCCCCTGATATGTCTTGAAAGAGTTCCTTTTTATACATATGACATACAAACTTGACACGTCTTCCTTCGGGTTACTTAATATGTCAGAACTTTGTCAAATTCAAAAACTATTTTTGGAAGTTCTAGTTCAGAAACAAGAAGCAGGTTATATCTTAACTTGTGACATGATGAGACGTCATGATTAGATGACATACTAAATACTGAAAGATTTGTTATCACATAACCAAGAGCACTAAAGGATTTGACAGAAATCAGCAATCAGTTAGTGCAATAACTGCTACCATCATTTCCATAGTTTGGTAGGAAACTGCTTTAAAACTCTCGATATTGCTGCTGCGACGCTAAATGTTAAATCACTTTAAAACTCTTGATTGTCTTATAGGTAAGGATGAACTAAACAATTCTAAAATGTTAACAAAGACCAACACTACAAAAGGTGTCTCATCAAATGTTCATGTATTTTCTGCATAAATCATGATAAATACTGAGGGCTAAAACTTTAACACAAAAACTGATGATTTGAATAAACTGTAATCAAATTGAGATCTATACAATGTTCAGCTGTCCAGGCCCCGGGGTCATGAAAGTGACTTAAGTCTAAAATTTGCTTAAGTCTGTCATTTTGATCTTAAGTCCAAAAAATTGTCTTAAATCGGGGATCACGTACATTTTTTAGTCTGAAAAGTTAATATTGAGATCATTTTTTGTCTTAAATCCTGAGACTGCTACCTACCAGTCTTAAGTCCCTTTTGATGCCAATTTCTTTTTTAGGCGAACAATTTCATAATGTTTGAAAAGTGAACGCGTTGTGCGAGATTTATGCTCTCGTGGTCCTGGATCTGCGTGCACAGCTATAAAATTACACAGAAATGTGGAATATTAAATTTCCTATCCTTTGGTATAAGTATAAATGCAAATACCTCAGCGGTTTGAGAAATAAACACTGCTAAATGATGTCCAAAATTTTGCTATGCATTCAAAAACAGCAAATTTCTCCGATTTTGATCGTGCACCGTAAAAGTACTGTGCTACGATTTTTTTAATTTGGCATCTTTACAGAAAGTGTGAGCTAATAAATTACAGCCTGATATCTGAACGACATAAGTATATATGAAATGGTTTTATTTGCTTATGCATAGCGTTATCGCTCACCATTAAAAATGACTCGCAATAAATGTCAAAATGGATTTTCTTCTATGACGCCAAAGGACGACAGAGAGGTCATAAGCGATATAAAGATAAGGGGCATAACTCCGCCATGCTTAACACTAGGTCAATGTAACTCATATCACTTGGAGAGAATTCGTTGTGGATACGGACGCTTATATTTTCCTTATGTTTTGTTCACCGTGAACCAAACTACATGTATTCCAATACAAAGTTCCCCAATGTGAGCGGAGACGTTTTAGTAGTTTCACAAGTTATAAGAAAAGATGACAATGTACTACATGAGAAAGCACGTAAAAGCGATTTGGATGGCCCTATCCGATATGTAAAGTAGTTCTTAAATTCACATATTCTCCTGTTTGTGTAGATGTATTTTGACTGATTTTGCATCATTATTTACTGAGTACTAGCCATATCTTCAAATATAATGAAATTACTTAAAAGATTACAAAAGTGTAGTTGACGCCATTGCTTGTTTTATGTATTTTGGCGCACGTCGGAAAAAAAACGACACTGGTATGCTGATCAGTATATATCTCACATAATTTCCATGAATTGAGTAAAAGGTTTCGGGTTTCTATGTCTGAATTTAACACTCTTGTGACAGAACTTAAAATGACTGATTTTACCATTTAAATAATGTCCTGAGTAGATCCATAATTAGACGGTTTGACTTTGTTTCCTAATATGAACAACACACGCACCTGTTTGGCATCAATTTCACGTAAATTAAAAAGAATATTTCACAACCCCTGGCCCCGGGGTCATGAAAGTTAAATCGCTATTCATAACCTTTTCATATGCAACTGTCATATTGGTCCGAATGGCGAATATTGCACATGATACATGAACTATTTAAGTACATGTTGCAGTTCGCCTTCGTTTGTTCTTTTAATACTTGTTTAAGGGTTTAAAATATGGTGTACTACACTCAGTATATCAATTTCTTATGTAAATATTATTCAAACAAACAAAACCCTTGAAAGAATGAAAACCGTATACCCTGTATCCAAGGATATGATATAGAACAAGGCTAAATGTAGATAATGAATAGTTTCATGAAAAAATATCTGAAAGATACTCAAAATATACACTGAAAGTGTAATTGGTGGAACATGGCGATTGTGTTTACTCTTATTCAACCGACCTTCACCTCAAAGAAATTGCCAAATATGTAACAACAATGTTGACGTATATGACATCACAACCGTTGACCGATTTCTTACAAAATGGCGGCTTCGGTTATACAGGATTTTATGAGGACCTTTCCTTTGATTCGGGGGATCTTTGTACATAAATGTGTGATGTAAGTAATCAGAATGATTCTGACTATCTGTGTATTGTTACATGTTTTATCGCTTTCATTGTAAGTAAGAGAAGAAGCCAGATCGCCGATCATTACCGTTGTTGTTCTGCGCGAGATTTTCCATCAGTCATGAAGCGTATTGCACAGAAACTTTGACAATTTCAGATAAACATATCACATTACTGTATTGTATCTATTATTTTTGCTACACGATACTATTTCCATGTATGTTCTAAAAGTATTGAGCCTATGCATGCTACTTAATAGAGGCTAATGGGTGTTTGAAATTTGAGAAAATGCAGTACACAGTGTAAAGTCTCATGTTTCTTTGTTTACATTTCAACAAGTGCTGTCTTTCGCACACAGCGTTCGCTTCATATCACCTAGACACTTGGTTTAGTGACAAGGACCATTTCTTATTTGATACTAAAATGTATGAGGAATTCAGTGTTGTATTTGTCACAGCTGAATAGGAAATATATTGATGTAATAGGCGATCAATACCGACCTTCAAAACGTGATTTTGAAAACACTATCAAATGCAATATGGCAGAAAGCGATTTAGGCGCTCGTGTTGGTGTATTTAGAAAACATCCCAACCTTAAAGACACTAAAAGTCACCGCTGCAGGGATAAAAGCGTCAGTTGACGTGTTTGGAACATTTCAGCAGGTTCCTGCTACTAAACTATTCTCCTCAATTATTTAAGAGTGACCGGACATGATTACATCATTCTAAAATTGCCATGGTAACTGTCTTAGTCTTAGTCTTAGCTAAGATTTGGCTGAGACAGTTTCATGATCCAGTCTTATCTAAAATCTTAGCTAAGCAAAAAAATTTAGACTTAAGATTTTTTTGTGCTAAGCAAATTTAAGACTTAAGATTTTTTCATGATCCTGGGGCCAGGTCTGTCAGTTTCAGAGTCAAAAATGCATTTTGAGAGAATAGAAAGCTTTTTCAATCTGGCAGTCACATTGAAAATCTGAAGTGAACATGCTGAACAAGTTCACTGTGTAAACTTCACTGGTCTGGTAGTTTCTGAGGAGATATTTATCGTGCAAGGAGATGCACCTTTCAGAGAGATTTGGTCACGGTTAATGCACAATAAACAAAATTAGGTCAAAATATGAAAGACTGAAAATATACTTTCATATATACTGAGTGCATTTCTATGTTTACATCTATTACCAACTCTTCTCAATTGCAGTTATTTACTGCTGAACATCACCCTTTCAGTTAGCAACTTTTCTCTACTTTTCAGCTTCCATACACCTTCCACTTGCTTGCATGACATTTTTAAGAAGGGTGTAAACCATATCTCTTTAAATCAGCCTAAACTGAGAAGCATCTGTGACTCCTTCTGTAAAGTGCCTTACAGTGGTTTAGTTCCTAAATCATATTGGGCGCTATACAAATTTTGTACATTATTATTATTATCATTATTGCAACATTCATATTTTCTCTGATCAATGTCTATACATATATGGCCCAAAGCAAATTATGTACATCGCTGCCTTTAATATTTAATAAATATGCCATAGGTAGCCATTGTTCTTGTGGGCCATAAATGTGAACAATTAACCACAACCTAATCATCACAATTATCAGGTCGTTGCCTTCAAGCAGAAACTGTTCAATCCCTCTGTTTGGTAGTGGAGAGAAACCTTTTGACCAAGTTAATATATGCTTTTCTGTAGAAACCTGGCAGTTTGCTGCTGGCACCACAGCTGCCGATCGTGTTGCTGTTGCTGTTTGCCAATAACATGATGCCCATTTCAACATGTTCTAACAGCTTAGAACAGTCCTCAAGTCATACAACTCTCACCTTGAACCCAGCATTTTCTTTTTTATTTCTCTTGCCTTGTCAACCTTTGTCATGGCTAATGACTAGGCATGTGATGTTTATGGCATTACTCTCATAGAGCCACCATCAGGCTAATCAACTCTCTCTCTACCATGTTCCTTCTGACCTTTTATCCATTATATTTGTTGTTATATGGAGATTCTACTTCTGTACATAGTAATGGGGAATCAATAATATCATGTTTCAGTTGGCAATATTCCTCACATCTGTGACCTGAAACAACTATGATAATGGTCATATATAATAATTTATTGTTTTCTTATACATGAAAGTGATCTTCATCAGGTGTGATGCGAGAAGATGTCAACAACTTACTAGTGCCAGATAATGCTTCAGTATCTTCCTTTTGCTGAAACAATTCTGGAAAGTTCCTGCAGTGGTTTTATTTAAGGCGATGCACAGAACACCACTGGTTGCATGATCCAAACGATGTGCAAATCTGAAATAACAACAACCTGATGGGTTCTGTTGCCTTGACAACTGATCATTTTTGTGACATAGAAATCTGATCAACTATGTAACCTAACCTGCAGGACACATGTTTGGGTATTTGCCATTGGTTTCTCATCACTGACAGTCAGCTAAGTCATAACCGCAGTAGAAAGCATGAAACTATGTAACCTAGAAATCTGATCAACTCTGTTACCTTGACAACTGAACAACTTTGTGACATAGAAATCTGATCAACTATGTAACCTAACCTGTTGGACACATGTTTGGGTATTTGCCATTAGTTTGTCATCACTGACAGTCAGCTAAGTCATAACCGCAGTAGAAAGCATGAAACTATGTAACCTAGAAGTCTGATCAACTCTGTTACCTTGACAACAGATCAACTATGTAACCTAACCTGTAGGACATGTGTTAGGGTATTTGCCACATTGCCATTGGTCTTAAGTCATAACCTCAGTAGAAAGCATGAGTGTTATGCTTGATCTTGATTTCCTAGTGGTGTGCTGTACCACATGATGTGTTGGGAGTGATCTCCCTTGATTGTACATTTGAAAGAGTCGTTGATTAAACATTGTGTCTTTGGAATTCAAAGTGTCTGTTGTTGGCCTAAGAACCCAAACCAGGGCACGTAACATGGTGGCAGCAGATTGGAAATGAGTAAGCCCATTCCAGAGACAAATCTGATTTGAACTTTGAAGGAATTTAATCCTGAATATACATGTCTACAGGGCATCAAAGCACCCAGTCCCTTATTGCTTGATGGCAATACAGCTGAGCAAACAGAAGTGGAAAAACAATGAAATATTGACGCAACTTTCTACGTATGAGAGACCATATCAAGTTGCATCATTCTTGAACTCGCGCAGTGATGGGGCTCTCTGTGTGTACAACGGATTTCACATCAGCAAAGATGAGAAAGATATAACTCTAAACAATATCACTGAGAAATTTAATTTTGCCATAGGAGAAATCGAAGAAACGTATGAAAGTTATGTGTTCAACAAGCAATCACAAAATGATGGTGAATCTTTTGAGAGTTTCCATTCAAACATCAGATCTTTGGTAAAGACTTTGTAGAGCAGCTGAGAATGCCTCTGCACAATATGAAGCTTTTAAACCAGAAAGTGTGAATATGACCCTAACCCTAACCTCTGCACAATATGAAGCTTTTAAACCAGAAAGTGTGAATAAAGTTGTATCTGTATGCAGTGATAGGAAGAGTTTGTACAAAGAAAGAAGTTCCATAAAATCACGGCATAGGGATTACAAGAAAAGTGCTGACAATTCTGATCTGAAAGACGAAAACAAAACGAAAATTCTGTGGATGAAAACATGTTCTCAAATATGAATGCCCTGCCTGGGGAAGAACTTGTCCTACATGTGGAAATAGGAATCACTTCTCAATCATGTGTGCTAACACAAAGAAGAAATATGGTGAAGTGCATTAAGTCCCTCAAGATGCCTCTGATGACAAGAAGAATGGATACATACCATACACAGTGTTGAAAATAAACATGACTGGATCAATACAATAAACTTTGATGAAGAAAATATCAACTCAGGGAATAAGTGTCACGTGGTCATCAATGGAAAAGATCAAGTGTTACAAGTAGACACAGGTGCTTCAGTAAACATTCTAGCCAGAAAATATGTGCCAGATGCAGACATTAAGCCTTCTGTGAAGAAACTGAAAATGTGGAATAATACTGAAATTGGATCATCTTGGTTGTCACTGAAGAACCCCAAGAATAAAAGAAAATATTCTCTTGAATTCGTTATTGTTGAACATCAGCTGACACCTTTAATTGATCTTCAAGCGGCTGAACAAATGGACTTGGTAACTGTTCATCCTGAAAACATGGTCCTTGTCTCTTCCATCACACATAACTGCTCTGAACTAAAAAGGGACTGCACTCCCACGAACAATAACTGCCCTCCTGTGAAGACTAACTGCTCTTCTGTTACTAATGACTTTCCTTCTGTTGTGGATGGAACACTGTCACGGTGCTGGCAGCGGTAATGACCTCTGTGTTAAGGGTCATTGGCTCAACCACATGTGGTCGTCTAGAAGTACCATATTGACCGCACCAGTGAACTTAGATAAAATAATATATATATACAGTCAGACCTTGTTTATCCAAACACTTTGTTTTTTTATTGAATTGTTCGGACAAACGAATCATTCGGATATCTGAATCAGGACCTAGGCGGTCGGCTACACGTGAAAACAAAACAACTAAACATAACATTGAAACATAACTACATCTTTATTTAACATAACATCTTGCATAACAAAACATAACATAACATAAATTACATCGGCTTGAAAAAGTCTTTGATTGATGATTGTTGATGGACAGAGTTGTTATTCGCTGCTTTGGTGTTCGGATATACGAGGCAAATTCGTACATATTTTGTTGTTTCATTACCAAAATTGACCGTTCGGATACGGAAACCGAACATTCGGATATACGAGGTAAATTGTAACTAGAAAATTTCGTTTTTTGTGAAGAATGTTCGGAAACCGAGGTATTCAGATATCTGAAGTTCGGATATACAAGGTCTGACTGTATATCTGAAAAAGAGCACAACCCAACTGTAATACTAATACATTTTTTAAGACTATAACACATGAAGACATGAATAACCAATATAAATCTGTAAGTAATACGTAACAATGAACTGAAGACCTCAAGTATCTGAGGTCTGTACCTCAATATTCTTCAAATAGAATGAAGATGATGAATATTGACATAGATATTGTTCATGAAGATATGAACAAATTATTATCTACCAAAATAACAATAACCTTTGAATTCTTGTGAAGCCTTACATTCTTATAAGGCTACATGAACATGAAGAATATGAATCTTCATATTGTGATAACAATAATAATAAACATACCCCTGACAGGACTATAGTCTATTACATGAAGGTATAAGTGAAACGCCAGACTGAAGGTAAGATTGCAAGGAACTTACCAACATATTCCTGTGTCCAGCTTTCCAAGAGGTCCTAGTTGGTTCGAGTCCACCGTGGGAACTGACCCCAACTAGAATGGTTAGGAATTTATAGGAGTTTGGCGGACGTAACGGAGAGGACAACCTCTGACTTGACCAAGAAAGATTGAAACTGATACTTGAAACTCAGTAATTGTGTTTCTCAAGCATCAGGTTTTAATGTATAGCAAAAATTATTAATTAATCTTATGAGTTGAAATCTGAACATGTGATAGCAGGCGTTACTGGCTACTTTCACGTATAATTTTAATTGTTCTAGAGTAACTAAAAATGAAGATACAGTTCCAATAAAGATTTGAAAATAGTCTTCCATTGAGATTAATAGAAGAAAATACTGCATTCCTCCCAAAATAAAAAAGTTTACATAAATTAGACCATATAGCCTGAAAACTAAGTATTATGGGCCCATTTGCATGATAAAAGATTTAGGTGAAATTCACAAGTTGACTTTAAATCTTGACATGAATGTCCATGACAAATACACACAGTCCACATGAATTGTATAGAATTCAACTTAATACAGGGTTTCAGTCACAAACACTTGGAGCTTTCGCGGGACTGGTAAACCTGAAAGTGAAAGAAAATGAGAAACCAGTCGTAATGCCTGACAAAAGAGTGTCATTAGCACTCCATCCAAGACTGAAATCAGAATTTGATCGACTGATGTCCCTAGGTCTTATAATGCCAGTAAACAACTCTACATGAACTGGGCGTGCATTCTCCAAGACAGATCTTTTGTCTGGCTTCTGGGATGTGCAGTTAGATAATAGAGTTCAGTGTACTGACCACATTTCAAACATGCTTTAGACGCTATCTTTGGCTGAGATTGCCATTTGGAATCTCTGTTGTTGCATCTCAAATATTTCAGAAGAAACTGTCTGCAAACATATCTGATCTTGAAGGTGTTGTTGTATCCATAGCTGATGATGTTCTGACACATGGAAAAGACACTGCTGAACATGATGTTCATCTGAAAACCTTGCTTGTACGGTGTGACGAGAGGAACATAAAATTGAACTAAGACAAGCTCAAATGGAATGTCTGATGTAATGTCTGGGACAGCACATTACTCAAGAGGGTCTACATTCTGACCCAGAAAAAGTTAGGGCCACAGTGGACATGCTGCAACCTCAGAGTCCAGAAGACCTGACAAGATTCCTGGGAGTTGTAAATTACCTTGCAAAATTTCTACCAAATTTGACGGATGTGACACAGCTGCTATGAAACCTCACAATGAAAGATGTTCCATGGAACTGGTCTGAAACCCAAGAGAAAGCCTTTGAGCAAGTCAAGACTAAAGTCACAAACACACCTGTTCTGACCTTATATGATCCTTAAAAGGAACTAATGGACGCATGTGAACACGGATTGGGATTTGCTCTACTTCAAGGTGGAAGACCAGTGGCGTTTAAGTTTTGCAAGCCGAGCACTGATTGGTACGGAGCAAGGATATGCTCAAATTGAAAAGGAAACGCTTTCCCTGACTTTTGGCCAAGAGAAGTTGCATCATTACACTTATGGAAGACCTGCCAAGGTGGTGACTGATCGCAAGCCCTTTGTGAGCATTGTGTTGAAACCACTATCAAGAGATTACAGAGTTTACTCCTTCGTGCACAAAAGTACAACTTTGAACTTTCATACAGGCCAGGACAAGACTTGCCTCTAGCAGACACCCTATCTAGAGCACACTTACCTGACAAATGTGAAACAGAAACAGTTCATGTTGACAACTTGACCTTTTTCTCCAATCAAGGAGCATCAACTCTAAGAAATTAGAAAATCGACTAAAAAAGATGATACTCTGTCCCAGTTGAAAACAACAATCATGAAAGGGTGGCCTGATCACAAATCTTTGATCCCGTCATGTCTAACTCATTATTCCAACTTTGAAGATGAGCTGACAGTACAGGACGGAATCATCATAGGAAGAAACGGAGTGGTAATACCAGCAATGATGAGACGTGAA